AAGCCAGAGCACAGTGCGTACAGATCACGAATAGCCTGCTGACTATGTAAATGACTATGCGAACGTATTATAAAGCAAACACTTTCCTCAGAGCCACATCTGGATTTATAAAGCTTGGGACTCAATAAATACATGGAAACGGAAGGGTGGGGGAAGGGGTGCAGTCCTTCTCATGTTTATACAATAATAAGACCAAGATTTTGACAGAACTACTCAAGTTTTTGTTCATGAGCTTTCAGTTCCTGAGATGAAGGCACATAACATTATTATCAGAAGTATATTCCCAGCAGTGCTAGGATTATCTGTTAGTGTCATTTTTGTCAAAATAACCTTTCAAAACAACAGGTAAGAACTCAGATGTCCAAACTACAGTTCAAATCTCAACTTTCTACCTTTATTTAGTTTCCCAGCTGTTCTTTAGGCTTATGTAAATCTCTCTCAATTAAAAAGCAGTGCATGGAAGCACGTTAAGTCTAGATGCACAAGTGCACACAGACAGAAAAGATACATGTATGCATCCAACAACAGGGTGATATACTTGCAATAAAACATCACCACTTCTTGGATAAATAGCACATAGAAGCATAGAATCATGGAATGGTTTGGGTTGGAAGGGACCTTTAATGACCATGAAAAATATATATTCTCCTTTTTTAAAACCACTAAAGTTTTAAAGAACAAAGAAAGCCAAAACACACAGAAAGCATAGAATGATTTGGTAAAATCTTCTGATATTAAAAGAACTATCAAAAAGAAGGTAAGTCACGAACATGCACGACCCATCCATACTTTAAACGTCACTGTTAATGCGAGTCACTTCTTAGAAGAGATATCTGTCTATAAATAGTTACATATTCTCCAATTAAATGAACAGTAACCATTTATTTTACATGCTTTATATGTACTAAGACTAAGAATCTCAGTAGTCTTCAACAAAAAAAATTAACAGCTGGTTTTGCTCCTTTTTTCCTTATTTAAAACAGAAGCAAAGAACACACAATCCATCTCACTGGAGTTTTCAGGCACATTAGCATTACAGCTAAACAAAACAACACCTGAAATTAAATTTATCATTCTGTATGTCTAGATCTCACACGCACACACAAAATCTTCTGTTATGCTACACCTGTAGTAACTTCTGTTTCTATTTTATTCCCCACGGCTACATGAAGTTGCTGTCTAAACAGAAAATTAGGCTGCTAACTCTCCTGGCTTTTTCCAGGAGCATGTAACACCACCTTCACACACTGTCAGGGCAGCGAGAAGCGGAACAACTAACTCCAAAATCCCAGTGAGATTTCAATGACATGAATTATTGTGGTGACAAAATGCTAACACAATCCATGTACTGTCAATTTTGCAGTCATTATCCCTGAAAAATCTGTAAGGTGATACACAACTATCATTTCTACATGAAAAAACATCTTGGCAGGTCCATCAGCAGTGGCAAGGAAATCTCTGAAGCATGCAAAGAAGAGGCAGAAATAGGATCGTTAACTAGCAAACTCATGCCCAGGTTACGTAAAAAACCAGATCTGGCTCAGCTACATGTGCGTTATAAAGGAATATATTAATGCAAAATCCTAATTATATTTACCAATTTTGGTAAAACAATAAAACAGATGAGTTTAGTTAAAACTGATTCCTCCAAAGACTTAAACTAAAAAGAAGTACTTCATACAAAAAGAAAAATGAACATATATGAAGGACTAAGTTATACTGGGGAAAAATTCAAGAGCAGGTAATATTCTACTGGCCTCAGGATCCAATGTTTGAAGAGGGACATCAGGCAGCTTAAAATGAACACAAAGGAAAGCCTTGCTTCAAATTGTACATAATAAGTGTCGACGGGCACAGTGATTTTTGCTTCAATTAATGCAAAAAGTAGTCATCAAAGCAAAGCACTGCAGTTTGCTCAGGTAAACAAAACAGCAAGATGACACAAACATATTACAGAACACAAAAATAAAGGGAACTTTTGCTTTCGTCTTCAGAAGAAAGGGATCCAGTCTTATAATCACATGAAACACAAATTACAGGTTCAAAAGAACCGAGGTGTGCTTTAAGGAAATATATGTCATAAACTACATGAAACATACTTTCCCTGAAAAAATTATCTCTGCTGACTTTTGCTTCACATGAAACTACTAGAAGGTTGTTCAGACCCTGTGCCAGTAAGCTAGAATGGGAAATCCAGTGTTTTACAAGAAGCAGCAAGGCACAGACAAAAGTTATTTTACTGCAAAACAACAAAGCCTTGTAAGGTAACACTTGTTATTGTAGCTGCCTGAGGTTCCTTGCAATACATTTTGTTTTCTTAGCTGACAACAACAATAACATTTTTTTACTCAGTAGTCAATGAAAACTTACATGCTCTTGAAGGAAAATCTCGGACTCTTCAGTCTGTATTGGTGAGCAAAATTCACCCATGCAAAAGGGTGCAGCAGCACCTAGGGCTTAAGTTTATCCCATCCACAGCAATAGCTTCTGATATTAGCCATTCAGTTTTGCTATATGCTATCACAGCTAATAGCATGAAATTATCTTTATAAACGTGAACTGCAATTTCCCACTTTGAAAGGGAAAATGTGTTACTCACATTGTTTAACTGCCTTGTAAATTCTTGAAATGGGCCTAACACTCCCAAGCAGAAAGAAGGAGCAGCAGGACCAGCCAGGATAATGCAGACAGACCCTCCCCAAATCACCATAATAAGGGCTGCATCAAGCTAGATCTTTTGTTTGTGCTGAAACTCTCCCACAGTCATGGAACACCATTTGAAGAACTATAAAAATAACTCAAACCCACCTCTTCATTTGATTTTTTTGATGGTTTATACTTAATATTTTCAAAAGAACAAAGACAAATAAAATGGTATAGTATCAATCATTGCTTTTACAGGCGTGCTTCATATTAATGATGTTGGAAAAACCATACTCTCTGAACAACCTTGTTTAACAGATGTATTCTTTGGGTGTTAGACTTTCAAGCACATTGCAACATTTTTCTTTTCGTGTGTATCTAGATGTTCTTCAATGGTTCTAACATTGCTTTGCTCTCAAATGTCCTGATAAATGAAAATTAAAAATGAAAAAATATTCAAATGACTATTAGTGATATTAAAATACATTAAAACGTCACTTGCATAAAACTACTTGTCCGTGGCCACAGAGTGAACAGAATTCTGCAATATGTTATTAATTTCACATCCTGCATCACCATATGCAGCCTTCAGGGGAACAGGTCATCTGCTTTATATGACTTTTGCCATTCACTGTAGAACATGAAGAAGATACCATGTTCAAATCAAAATTCCAAGAATGGCAGAATTTGACTAAAACATGCACAGGGAAGTCAAAAGGTTTCAGTCAAGGATACAGATTCAGGTCATACTTAACACACTAAGTAGGAAATACAAAGACAGTGCCTACTTCAAAGCCTTTGAGTTTTGTTTTCTGAGAGGATACAACAAATTAAAAGGATGTGGGATTTTAGGAAGCTAGATGAACTGGTGATGAGTAAACTCTGCAGCAGGCTATCTAGAGGCAACACCTGAAACAACACACTCTCCCAGCTTTACTGTAGTTAGCACAGGCTCATCAGGAAATGCCAACACTGCCTATCGTAAGTAGTACTTGAGAAATAACTGATACTCCTGGCGCTGCTTGGCTTGCGGGAGCTTAACAACAAATTGTGAGCTGTTGCACATTTACCCTGCTTGTCTTTGCATGGACCCCATTGCGGGCATCCCTCTTCTTTTAGCGTTCGTCAGTTTTGCACAAGGTTCTTGTATTTCCATGCAAAGACTTAAATGAAGGAGCATCTGAAAGCATCCTGCAACCCTGTGACGACCTGCAGCCCATGATAACAGCAGATTCCGAAGTGCAGGCATGCAGGGCATTTATATAGTAAATGATGTTTCTTTCAGGATTACTTATATAGTAAATGATGTATGTTTTGGAAACACTATGTGTATTACTGTGAATCTTCCCCAACAAATAACTGTCATGTAACATTCCTGCAAGGCAATGGAATGAGAAGTTACAGCAGGCTAACAAGTGTCTCTCTGATTTAGCATCTGACTCAAGTCCAGTGCACACTGGCTGGCAGAAGTCAAAATTGTCTCAATAATGCTGCTATTTTAAAGAACTCTGATCCTTCTAAAATAGCTAGATGCTGCTTGGGCTATGATGAAGACTGTCCTAAGTTTCAAACCAGAGGAAAACCAGCCAGCTGGTGGTACAGCAAGATAAAACACCAGGACTTGCACATGCCTGGCACACGCTCTCTTCCTGTGATTTGACCAGCTCTCCCAAACAGTCATGTGCAGTGACTCCAGGACTGAAACATAGATCACTGATCTCCTGCTCCGGAAATCTGGTATGTTATTGCTGTCTTTGTGGTAAAGTCTCTGAGGCTCAGAGTTTGACAGCCTCAACGGACGGTTGAATAAGGAAAATCTTCTTGTTTATTTATGCAGCATTGTAGCTGGAGATCCATGTTACCATATTTTAAGAACTGTATGAAAATGAATAGGACAGTTTGACAGCCCTGAGACTGAGCAACTCCTGTATAATTATGTGCCACCTCAGCACGAAGCTCCTTACACTGACAATCCAAATATTCCTGAACTTCATGCAGTCAGAATCACTATCACTTTAAGGAAATGGACTCAAAAGGGTAGGTTTTTTTGTAGATTTGTGGATATTCATTCAGACAGTGTAAATTGAGATTTTCTTGCCCAAAAGATGCCCTGCTTACCAGAGCCAAAGAATGCAGGGCTGGCAGTGGTGTCTGGCATACAGCAACATAAACCCAGCCACATTTGCCCTCACAGAGCAAGGTGAGCTCAAAGCAGTAATTCTCGTATTTGACAGTAAATGGAGCAGAAGTGCTTGTGGTGACCAAAAATGTCTTTGAACTGTGTCTAATGTGCATTAGATCACAGCTTCCATCGTGTCAATTGCCTGGGAATGGTGCAAATTATGTGAGTTTACTTGGACGGCATAATAAGGAGACAAAAAACCCCAAAACTCAGGATTGCTGCAGGTTCCCAATAAAATCTGCTTCTTGTAAGTCTGTTAATTAAGAAAGGGAACACACCTCATTGCATACTTTAGTAACTACACCCCAGCCATCTATTCTGAGAATAAGGTTTACCACCCCACTCCCAAATATATATATGGCATCAAGTAGGAAATGGGTATGATCTTCAATGTTCCCAATGTAGTTTTTGAGAACTGAAGTACCGCATTTGTTCTGAAGCCTAATTCCTTCTCCTTCCAAAAGAGATCTTTGATGATACTCTGGTTCTCCCCTGGTAGATGTCTTTTCCTTTCTTCTTCCTCCTTTCCTCACATACTGCATAAAAGTCCCCTTTGCACTGCAAACGCTAATGGCCAAAAAGCACACGCCATGGTCACAGAGGTGGTCATCATCCTCAATGTAGTGCTACGATAAGAAAAGATGCCTTTAACTCTGTTGATTACTTGCCCTATCTTATTTTCTCTCTATCATCCAAAGGCACTGCCAATAGAAAACACTTTGTGCATTTAGTATTTTTTGTGTTAAAAATTTATGCAGTGAACAGGGCTTAAGAGTTTGTAACTACTGAATTGCAAGGACAACAAGACACATCACAGAAAGTATCTGATACCTACTCATCCCTGTCCTCTTTCACTATTGTGCTGAGAAACGCTTGCACGGTCATCAGTATGAAAGTGTCACTGTCAGCATCAGCACAGCAACAATCCTTACTGAAGTCTGAGGTACTACCAGGGTCAGTATTGATCTGTATGGTTTTAACAACATTTTCTTTATTGCCAGATCTTGAGTTATGACATCTGTGTGGTGCATGAAGGTAAGCAACACAAACCTTTGAGATTTTTTGCAGGTGGATGCGTCCTCTGGGTAAAAGGTGTGATGCATCAATTACATCAGGCTGCCTTCAGCCGCACATCTCTCTACGCGCAAGTACACAGTGAGAAGGATTTGAACATCAGGCATTTAGGACACACCTCTCCTGCCAGTATGAAAGCTATCAGACTATGTTTACCATAAAATGATATCACAGGTCTTCAAACCCTGACGTCTACAGCACACTGTGATGAGCTGTGAGACGTCTCTTCTTCCAAAGGCTAGAGGAAGTTGTCTCTTTTTTGTTTTTGAGGAGATGATAAAAGTTCCTTCAAGAAATTAGTGAAGATCTTGAATTTTAATTCTAGACTAAACAGAAGTTAGAATACTTGCATGTTTCTATAGTTTGAGAAGGGAACAGAGAGGATATGGATTTTCTAGCCTTCATGGTCTTGCACAGGCACACATACATATGCATCCCAAATATACACGAGTATAACTTTTATTTATATGAATTACATATGCACCTATGACAGGAGTAATTCTAAAACATATTAAAATATTATTTTTAATTATCAGTGGTAATTAAAATAAGTGAAAGCATCACTGGGGCTAGATAGGATTTTTACTTAGTCTTCTGAGACACTTCTGATTGTTCTGACCTATTGCTACTTTAACAGCGTGTTTCAAAATCCAAGTGTATCCTGATTTTATCTTGGAGTATTTTTTTCCTCTATTTCACTGTTTAGAAGCCTTGTCTCAGTACCGAAAGGAAAACTAAACTGAAATAAATGCATAGCATGAATTCTCTATCTCCCTTTCTCTATCGCCTCCTTCCACAAATAAAATAAAAAATCTGGCCCAGGATGAAAACACACTAATACATGGAGTCTGGCATTTCAAATAGTATTATTCAAGATAATGCGAAATGAAGGTGGTATGCTTGGGCTATGGGGAAGCAGTTTGTTACAAGAACTGCCTTTTACCTTAACCCAGCAGCTAATTTAGGGAGTAACACAGGCAGTAGTCTCCAAAACCAGGACACTCTCTCATTAATCTTTCCAAGTATCTTGGTATTTAGGCATATGAGGAATTTTAAGAGAACGGAAAGGAATTATGTAAGATTTACTGTATAAAGTTGATAGTTTCAAAACCTTTGTATTGGGACATCAGGCACTAATTGCAAACATCAATACACGCTTCAGACAAGGTAGATTAATTCTCTATCCTGTGGAATATCTGTTCAGACAGAAAAAAAAAGCAGTATTTGGAAGGAGGGGTCTTACCTGGAATTTCCAGAAAATTTCTTAATGTTCTGAATTAAGAAGAACATCAGTCCTTCCAGGAAAAAAAAAAGGTCTAAAAATTCCTCAACCCCCTAAAAGTTAGAAGGCAACTTTTACCAGTTTTCACAAAAAACTAATGTTTCAGTGCACAGGCAAACCAACTTTATTCCCTTACTTCAGAAAAACATATGCCTTCAGAGGAAGAGCAATGATTACAGAAGCATCGACCAATTTGATATTTGCTCTTCTGGAACAAAACAAGTATTTTAAATCCATGCCGAAAAGCTTTTCAGTAACTTTGTTCTTCAAATAAGATTCATGATCAAAATCTGTAAAAATCAGCAGCAGAGGTAATGGAGAGGGACAGAAGCTGACCTCTGAGTGACAATTAAAAAGAAGGAATTAGGAATAGAAAACAGAACATTAAAAAAAACCACCGAACAGTGAAACACTAGACAGTCTGTTACCTCATCATCATCTGCATCATACTGTGCATAATGCTGCTCCAGCAGCTCTCTCTGGCGGCGTTCTTGTTCTAGAGTTTGGCTAATCAGCTGCGCAACCTCACTCACTTGGCCCGGTTTTTCTCGTCCAATTACAAACCTATACAAAACATTAGTGAAAAAATATTACTCCTATTGTTTTACCAAAGTTCTAGATTTTCCGCTGTGTCTTGTAAAGAGGATAGCCTTTTTCTCCAAAGATACGTGGCTGTGATTGTTTTAAATGTGTTCTGTGGATGACATTTGCCAGAAGGGCACTGTGTGCAAGACTAGGAGGGATCAGACCATGACAGAATTTACAGGAGGGGGGAAAAAGAAGCGACCACTAAAGCCTTCCCTCCAAATTTCAGTAAAAAAGATTCTCTGAATTTGAACTTTACGGACACAGACCTAGAGCAGGGCAATTTTTAAAAAATGTATCACCGCTTCCATTCCTTTTAGAGCAATGTATTTCCCAGAAGCCTACAGAAGACCAGATGCACAGTAACAGCATAGACGCACTTCTGGCAGCTCGTAGTGAAAGGAACATGCACCAGAGTAACTTCTTTCTCCATCTTGACTTAGAAGATATTTCTGACTTTTATATTTGCCTTCCTCCTGTCTGTAACAGAGAATCTATTTCCACATTTTTAAATCTGACAGACACTATTTCCCTAATTTTAAGCCGCATTTAAATCTTTCTTTTATTTCATGAACTTCTGTTGCTAAGGAGCGTTTTTCTCCACTGTTAGCTATTGCTGAACACTGGGAGCACATTTCTTTGGCTTAACAAAAGACAAGGGAAGTGCTTCCTTCTTGGTTGAGACTTCCAAGACTGCTTCCCAATCTTGCTTTCAGCAATTGAAATTCAGAATTGGCTTGGATTGTAACACTGTTTTTCAGCACAGTGGCATAACCGTAATTAGATATTTTGCTATCTATAGTATTAATGATAAACACTCATTATACAGTACCAACACACTGTAAACTGCTGAACAAAAGCACCATTTAAAGATGTCAAGCTGAAGGAATATTTTCTTAGCAGACTAGAAAGACAATTAGGTAATTACAGGTGAAAAAAGTATTCTGCAGAGCTGAAAAGCGTGATCCGGTGACACTGAGATACTGCATATGGGAAATTATTTGTTTCCACGACATTTAGCTCAAACGATGAATTTATTATTGGAATGAGAGGTAGAAATGTGCATTATATCCCATGTAAGAAAATGATTTTCATTAGTAGTGCCTATCACTGTTAAAGTCATTTGGGATTTGGCATCCATGTGTAATCCCACTTCCCACGAGGGGATGACCCTGAGCCCATTTCCCATGCCAAACAATTTGTCAGACTCTATGAAGTCAGGCACTACAGAAAGGAACACAATTTGGAGATTATTTCAACATCATCAAAATATCCAAGTCAGTAATTACTTCCAAAAGGATAAGAAAGGTGAGAATGAGTGACTCCATTTGAAATAATAATGACACAAGGTGCTCTGAAAATAATTTGCAAGAAAGTGTCTTAGTTTAAAAACATTTATAGAAAAAACAGCAGAATCTAGAACAAAATCAGGGAAATAACATCAGTATTTTAATCCTGATCAAAACAGATCAGTCTGGCACTCATAACCTACTATTGCGAAATATGACATTGGTTCGCAGTAATGATAAAGACCTTGGGCTGAAAGAAAAAGAATGTTTCTTCATGGCCCCTATACTTCATCTGTTCTGCATACTGACTCATAGTGGGATCCTGTTTCCTCTGAATTTTGATTTTAGAGCCAAGTATTACAAAGACTAAACCAGTCATGTTTTCAGTCTCAATTGGGAGGAACAATGAACTTTTGATATTACTACATGAAGTAAAAAAGGATTCAACCCATATTTGCTACATATTTGTCTCCTCTAATGTAAAAACAAATTAAAAGAAAATACGGGAAAAAAACCCTTCTATTTTAAACAAACATTTTACACAACATCATGCATGAGTGTATTATTTGTACACAGTAGAGAGCGCATCACATTTGTAAACACATGAGGGAGATCACCAATGTGGTAAATTATGGAACCACACAAAGTGATGCAAATACTACACTCCCTCCTGCCCTCTGCCTGATAATTCACCTCCCTTGGAAAATAAGAGACTTGAAATACTTCATACAATCACTTTTGTACACTGAAAACCTAGAACAGACAATATGTAATGCATCTGAAGTCTGGTAACTCCTGATTATTTAGGAGTGGTTTTGACACATTAGACTGTAATGCAATAATATTTTCATACAGAAAAACAAGTTTAGGTAGGACGCAAAAATGTAAAAGCTTATTAATTGAATTTTTCTTCTCATGCCAAAGGCACTCACAGTTTATAGTGATGTGATTTTCAAGGCTTGAATCATATATCAAAATGAAGTTCCTCAATGATACCTGAAGCTGTTAAATGATACATGAATAAAAGCCTCAAAGCAATGACAAAGTTTAAAGCAAATGTTTTCCAAAATAGAAATATGCAAGGAATGTTTTATTTTCCTACAATTTACTGCCTTAAAGTGAGATATTTCCAAAGTGTCTCAAAATAAATATTTAGAAGCATTCAATCTACGATTGATGTCAGTTCTAGATAAAGAATTGTAAATTTGTAAAATGGAATACTACGTTGCCAACAATTACAGTTTTTACAAACTAAACCAAACCTTTTGTCACGTTACATTCCATGACCTTAAGAATACCATACTGCATATAATTATGTTTAACTTGTAACTAAGCCATAAATTATAAATTTATAATTTAAAGAGATGAATAAATATTTCTCTCTTAGAAAACTATAAAGCAGAGGCAGTTATTAAAATGCTAAGCATGAATTAGATCTTTACGCCTAGAATGGCTTTAAATACAAGAACTATCGTTATCTGAAGTGTTTAAATACAAAAAAGAGACATAAGGTTGTGATTCACTGACCAGAAAATTAGTCACTGAACCATAATATGCATACTTCAACGAAGTGGCTAATTACGTATGTCACATCACTCTGGCTCACCAAAATTAAGCACATGCATTTCAGACTTGATTAATTAGTCTCAAGGGCCACAAGTATTATAACAAAGAACTATAAATTTGATCAGCAATAATATATTTAAGAAGCTAGTTATGTTTCTGGATATGAGACAAATGAGGGTTTTAAAGCCTTTAAACCTCATCACGATACTATTCCCCTTAATTATTAAAGCCAGCAACTGCAAAATGAAACCCAGCAAATCTGTGATCCTGTACTACAAGCCATCACTGTACTAAATCTCAGGCCATTACTGATTATTTCGGATGTCCACAAAAAAGAAAGAGAGAGGAGATAACATCACAGAGAAGCAGGGCATGAACTGACCTTGATATTCAGAGTTACACGCAATCTAGCTGAATTACCAGCTGTGAAATATTCTCTTTGGTTGTGGTTAAAACAAACAGGGACAGAGCTAGGAATATAATTAATATTTGACTCTATCTTGGATTTAGGAAGATCTAAAAGAATACAGTATCTGGAGGAATGGAAAATTAAACTACAGTAATGGTGGTTAAGAAAAGCATTCTACTGAAATTGGCAGCAACTCCTACATCTCCTGCAATCCAGTCATGATTTAATGATTTTAAAGCACACCTGATATATAACTTTCTGCATATTTCCAGCTTTTATTAAATGAGGATCTGCAGACCTGTGCTTCTTGAAATAACAAAAAATAATTTATTGGTTTTTTTACCAACCATGGGAACCAGAAACATTATTATAAGAATTGATTAAATTAAAAAATATTTCAATTTTGAAAAGAACTTTGGTACTAGAAAAATGTGCAAAGGCACCAACTCTGATGCAAAACTGAAGTTTTGCAGCATGGATTTTTAGTGGCATGAGTTAATGATTTCTCCTAAAAATACTTCCGGCATTAAGTGCTCAATTAAAAATAATTTAGCAAGGATTCCGTAAATTCAACAAAAATCAAGTAAGAATACAGCAGACTCATTCAAAGAAATAAAGAATGGGTTTTTTTGCAGCAACAGGATTCACAGTTTTTTCTTCTAACCTTTCCTAAAATATAGTTTGGTCAATAAAAATGTACAGTAAATTTCATTGTATTTGGGGGAGTTTTACAGTTGGATTTTAAAAATGGTTTTCCTCTGAGCTTTAAAGCACAAACCTGCTTCTGCAATCATTTATCTGATTTATTTCAAGATGTCTTCAATTACCTACTCTGGCTGCTTCCATTAGGATAATAGCCATATAATTAATCCAAAGTGCTAGAAGTGGTGTGAACCCTGTAAGAAGGCAGTTTTATTTAGTTACAGCAGTGCAAGCTGGAACTTGTCAGATTTTCATGAACAAGATCAAGCTCCCTTAAAAGACGGCAGCCTCAAATACAGAGGTTGCTGACTGGACATAGGGAATTCACAACCTATGAGCTTCCATTACACTTTCTCAAATAAAATGATCTGAAACTTAAGAGTCATAAAGACTCTTTGAATCACTGAGTAATTTAGGTTGGAAGGGAGCTCTGGTCCACCCCAAGCCCCCCACTTCAAAGCAGGGCGAACTTTGTCATGGCCTTGATCAGTTTTGAAGCTCTCTAGTGATGGGATGCAACCTGTTCCAATGTTCGAGAAATCTCATAGTACCTTTTTTTTTGGTGAAAATATCCAGTCAGAATTGCCCTTGCTGCAACTTCTGTTCATTGCTTGTTACCTTGTCCCTGGACAGAGAGTACAAAGAGTCTGGGTTCACCCTTTCTGCCTCCTGGAAGGTAGCTGAGACAGCAGTAAGATGCATGCCATCTCATTCTTTTCTTCGGACTGAATATGTTCTTTCCACCTCTTCCCAGGGTGTCTCCTGCACAGCTGCTTTCTAGCTCAGTGTCGCACAGGGCTATGCTGCTCCAGATGCAGGACTCACATTTGCCCTTGCTTCATAAGGTTTCTGCCAGCTCGTTTCTCCAGCCTGTTGAGGTCCCTCTGAATAGTAGCCCTGTCTGTTAGCCTGTCTAACTTCATCCGCAAACTTGCTAACGGTGCCTTCTGTCTTATGTCTGTAAATCCACACAGCCCTCCCTTGCACCAGAGACAAGCACGTGCATAGCAATC